TCCTCGTTCCAGCTCCCCTCTGGTGAGTGGAGGCAAAGGAGCAGACTCACCCTGCCTTCCTGCTGTGCTGGGACAAAAGGAAGTCTCTCTGCTGAACAGCCGTTCCATTCACAATGCGCTTTTACATCCATCCATCACCTTCTTTGACCCTCCTAACATTCTGGTGCAAATGCAGAAACTGAGTCAGTGGCAGAGCTGAAACCAAATCTCTGCCATTCCCACCACACAAGGGTGCCCCCTATGGGCTCCTGCTGGGTCCAGGCTGAGCCTGCAGTGACTGTCAGCGATGGCTTGCACTTGGAGTCTCCCTCCTTTCTCACTCCCTTCCCGTCCCATCTACCTCTCTCCCCGCTCGTTTTCTTCCATATTCCTCTTATTCCTTGTTCTGTTCTCCTCATCATCAGCCAAGACCTCAAAAATAGTGCTCAGATCTCAGAGAAGCCCTGTCAGAGTTAAAGGACCCGAACCCTAGGTCAGGCTGGTCTATGACCATGAATGTGTGTCCTCCTGGCACTTGCATCCCCCTGACCAGCAGGCCCCGGGTTGGGCAGCTGACTCAGTTCATACCAGGAGAAGCAGTGCGCAGGGGAGCAGGGGAGAGGGTCATTTAGAGTAATTATAGGACAGAAGCCAGAAACTTGAGCTTATGTGATAGCCCTGCCAATCATAACCTGAGGTAAGTTAGCACCCACTCTGGACCTTAGCTTTCTCATCTCATCTGCAAAGTAGGATAATAGTATCTTCCTCCCAGGAGAGCTCTGAGGGTTAGGAAATTTGACCTTATGATACCAAACATGAGATGTCAGTATAGGTTCATAGAACACAGAACCCTCCCAAGAATTGGACTTGGAAATATCAGTATCTGTGCTGGAGTAATTAAAGCTCAGGACCAGCATGAGCGGTGGAAGGGTGGAGGGGGTGTCACTGGGCAGAGGCTGCTCATTGCTTTTTCCCCTAGGCATCCCAGCCTTCAGCATTCTGGACCCAGCCACTAAACTCAATTAATGCTTGTCTCTTTATGATGTTGATGGAATCATCTTGTAACATTCCAGGTATCTAATGAGGGTGTGCACAGCTACTGGGCAGTGAGTCCTGGAATTTCCCTACCTTTGGTACGCCCTGGTAGTAATGGTGATTTTTAAAGGCTGGGAAGCCCAGACTGACTTCTCCCTAAACAGACTTGGGCACTCCCAGAGTCATCAGAGATTCAGAGTACAACCTGCAGTGTTCCAGAAAGAGAAGTCAATTACAACACCTGGGGGTGGGGGCTTGGGGGGCTGGCGGGGAAGATAATTGTAGGAGAAAAAAGACCCAATTCCACTTGGGAGGAGTACAGGAAACTTCCAGAGCTGGCAATTAGGAAAACAGAAATGGATAAACATTCAGTTAGATATGTAAATTGATGGAACTCGGGAATCCCCTCTCCCTCCACGGACCCCACTTAGACAGTCGTAAAAGGAATTAAAATGGCATCAGCCCACAATGTCACAGTAAATGGGAGAGAATCAGCAATGGGCTGGAGATTTCACCAAGTGTATGGAACAAGCAGTCGAAGGAGTGGTAGGTAAGGAGGAACAGGTCACAGCCAGTGTGAGCACACAGACCCCGGCTTCTTAACAGAACCCGGAGAGTCTTGAGGCACCATGCAGGACCAGCATGAGCTGTGGAAATAAAAGTCACTTGAAAGCTGGTATATGGAGCCGTTGCCTCTGCTCCCATCCCTAGGAAAACAAACACACACAAGTTATTTAAAGAAATTACAAGGTGCTAGAGAAAGAGCCCTCCACAAACATTCTGGCTTGTGGAGTTTCTCAGTGTAATACTCAACTTGGGCGACAGAGTGAGACCCCAACTTAAAGAACAGTAATAATAAGTTCAACTTCACTACTTATCAGGCAAATGTAAAACAACAATGCAATACCATTTCATACCTATCAGATTGACAGAAATAAAAAATTCTGACATTATCAAGAGTTGGGAAGAATGTGGAGTAAAGAGAATAAAAAGAAAAGAAAAAACGCTGGGAATAGATCAATAGTGGTGTAGTCATTCAATAGAATACTACACAGCTGTTAACATGAATGAACTAGAGCCAAATGCATCCTACGGCTAAATCTCAAAAGTAATGTTTTAGCTCAGAAAAAAAGTCCAAGAATGCTATCTACAGAATAGTATAATTTATATAAAACTTGAAAGCCTACAAAACATGACTTCAGCTTGTTCAAGGTTATAGACACATGCAGTAAGAGCACAAAAACATAAGCGTATAAACACATACAGAGAGTTACACACCAAATTTATCAAGTAGGTTGCCTGTAAGGAAAGGCGACAAGTAGATCAAGAAAGCGACATATGCAGGAGACTTCAACTTTTCATCTGTCATATTTTATTTGGCTAAAGAAAATCTGAAGCAAATATAGCAAAGTACAAAGACTGCATAAAGCTGACTGAGGTACCCAGCATCGTCTGCCATGCGTTTGGGACGTCTGAAGATAACGGCCAGGAGTTTGGGAGATGTTAGGGTTGGAAGAGGCACCAGAATGTAAGACCCATGGAAGTGTGTACTCTGTTGTATCGATAACACTGCTATATCCCTCTGCGTAGAGGAATGCCTAGGAAAAAGCAGGAAGTCAACAAATATTTGCTGACTGAATGAACATATGCAAAGGCATTGAGAAACGTGAGGACACGGTGTGTTCTGAAAGTGCTAATCATATCAGCTAACTTCCACTGAGCGTTGCCTGCACCAGACGCTGACTTGACTGTTTGACATGGGTTATCTCATTTCCTCTTGCAACAATGATACAGGCTATTATTATCCTTACTCTACAGGTGAGGAAACAGAGGCTGAGAGAGCTAGGCAGCTTGCCTGAGAACGTAGTGGTTAAGAGTCAGAATCTGTATTCCATCAAAAAAGTATGTATTTTATGCTATAGGTAGCTTCAAAATTTGGCAGTGGAAACAATGTCTGGTCAAGGAGGTTACAGTTCAGGAGACACATTAAACATATAATCTAGAGTGACTCCCTTGAGTGAAGGGTGACCAGGTCCAATGAGAGGGTGTGCTCAGTGTCCCTATGGGGGAGCACACAGCAGGGAACACTTTAGTCCACTAGGCAAGCTGAGAAGTTCCTACCAAGGAGGAGACATTTGACCATTTGTCCCTGGCTTGAAGGAGAAGTGCACTTACAAATGCCAGGTTCCAGGTCTTTCTGCTTCACATTTAATTGGTGGTGCTAGGGGATCCATTGCTCTGGACTGCAAGCACAGAGCACAAAGCCGGCTACGTAGGGCTGAGGCCACCCTCAGTGAAGACATACTGATTTGAATGTAATCTCCAGTCTGAGAAAGTTTGCTCTGACCTTTATACACAGAGGAAAAAACCCAACTCAAAGTTCTTTAGAAATCATGATGCCAATAACAATTGTTCATGTTTAATAATAATAATAGCTAACATTTATTAAACATTTACGATATGCAGAACACTAGGCTAAGGCATTATATGCTTTATTACCTTTACTTCCCACAACTCTGTGAGGCAGGTACTATTTTATCACTCCTTGTGCTGAGAAAACCAAGGCTAAGAGAATGTAAACAGGTGTCTTGCCCAAAGTCCTAGGCAGTTAGTAAGTGGTGGGACTGGGACTTGAACCCACAGTTGTCAGCTCTCTAGTCCGTGCCTTAACCACTGCCTCACACATGCACAGACATCCAATTAAAGCAACAAAGGTTTTTACTGCTTTCAATTGGAAGAAGAAATGAGAATGTGATGCCACCTAAACTAGAATCAAGCTTATCATTATATTCATGAATACCTGTCACATGTTAGGTGCTCCATACATGCTTGTGAAATGAGGTGGCATTCAGTTCCAGGAAATGAACACCAACCCAGTTTCAAAATGACATACTTCACTGATGTAAAACAAGTGGAAACTCCCAGGAGGCCAGGGGACATGCTGGGCGCACGGAGCTCCTGGAGACAAGGCTCTGTGTTTGCCTCCCTCAACTCATCAGAGAACGGCTACACTGAAAACATTCCCTAGCCAGGCTCGGTGGCTCAGCCTGTAATCCCGCGCCTTTGGGAGGCTGAGGAGAGTGGAGTGCCTGAGCCCGCGGGTTCGAGACCCGCCTGGGCAACTTGGTGAGACCTCATCTCTACAATAAATCAAAAATTAGCTGGGCGTTGTAGCGTGCGCCTGTAATTCCAGCTACTTGGAAGGCTGAGGCGGAAGGATCGCCGGAGCCCAGCAGGTGGAGGCTGCGGTGGCCGGGAGCGGCCACTGCACTCCAGTCTGGGTGGCAGAGTGAGACTCCAACTCAAAAACAAACAAACAAATAAACAAACAAAAAATTCCCTGATTGAACACAGTCGACAGCACTCCCAAATAGCCCAGTGGTCAAACGTACACAGAGTAGGAGAAAAACAGGGCAAGGGAAGGAACAGGAAGACTTCCACTTTTCAAATAAAAGCAGACATAGGACACAATCAATCGCTCCAGGAAAAGCCATCATTCCTTGGATCACAAGTATTCATGCATCCATTCATTCGTCTCACAAACATTAACCAGACACTTGTGCTGTGCAGGAGGCAGGCCCTGGCCTGGAGTTGTACTTCTACTCAGTAAACACTGAAGAGCCCCTCTCTCCCCCACACCCCAAGCCAGGCAGAGGGGGCCAAGGAAGGGCCAAAAACATCCAGCGCCTCCCCTGGTGTGCACAAGAAATGGGATCGCAAATTGCAAAGGAAAAGGCTGGTCCAGAAGAAGAGAAGGTGGAGGAGCAGAGAGAGAGGGGGAGGGACCAAGGGACTCAGTATGAAGAAACAGCACAAAGGGGAGAGGAGGAGGAAGGGCGAGGGCGAGGGGGCAGTGGGCAGGAAGAGGGGGAAGACAGAGAGGAGGGGCTGAGGGAGAGGAAGCAGCAACCTTTCTGGATTCTCCTTAGAGCCACGTCTAACAATACCCCGTCACGTTTTAATTAATTACAGGTTTTCCCACTGACTCAACCAAGAGCCCTCTCTCTTATTACTTTTCGAAAGAGCCAGCCGATTTTAATCATAGTAAACACAATGATCCCAGTTATGATGGCCTGAGTGGCTAAAAGCAGAACATAAAACCCCCAGAACAGGCTGTGGTCTTGCCGGTTGCCCGTGGCCACCCGCTGGGCCCACGCCCAGGGCTCTGGGCTGCTGGGCACCAAGGCAGGGTTGTCGGGGGCTTCCCAGGAGCTGTCCGCGGCAGGGTGGGGAGGGGGGCCCCGGGGATCCGGGCACTGCAGGTCACTCTCCGGCAGGGCTCGGAGCGGCAGGCCGGTGCGCTCCCCGGGGCCAGCGCACCGCGGGGGCTCGGC